AGGATTGGCTGAGGCCAGGTGGTCCAACATGTCTGCGCCCTAATCCGACGCCACACCACACCACACAACACCACATCGCCACACTACAGAATACTGTGCATTACGCATATACGTTGTTCTATTACCCACAACACCTCTAGGGTAAGGTGCGGATCTCGCATTTTGAAATGAAGTCGGTCCTGAATCAAATGTCACATCGAGAGCGAGTTCGTTTCCTGTACAAAATGATACTTCGAACACATCGAGCTCTTCCTCCCGAATTGCGGGCAGTTGGGGACCGGTATGTCAAGGAGGAGTTTAGAAAACACAAAAGTTGTGATCCATCCTACGTTGGTCCTTTTATGATTGAATGGACGGTGAGTAAGCGTTTTACCGCTTGCTTATTATTACATGAACTGCATACTTAAAAATTGTTTACCTCCTTGTACCAATCGGCGTTCGCTTTTTCCGAAGTTCTTGGAATTATCCGGCCTATTATCGTGCTAGAACGTATAAGCCAACTACTGAACTGAAGATCGAAAAGATTTTGATTCAACTCATCACTAGTTTGAAGCACTCCGTTTTATAGTTAGCTGAAAGGTGTATTGACCTAAGCATTCAGTTAAAAAAGTGTGTAACCTTCGTGTATCTGAGCCTCAGTATCCTAAAACATCACTTTATTCTCTAGTTGATGTGTTCCAATAGGACGAGGGCCAAATAATATTCTGTGAAGATCATGTTGACTAAATTGTTGTTAATTTATTGGGATTGGTGGATTTGAGCTTTGTCTCGAAAGGCTAACGTGTAGACACCGTGATCGTCCACTCAGTAGGTAGAGGTCTTGTTTTATGATCTTCATATAGACTGCATTGTTGATGCTGCTGTAATAGAAATTACGTAGGTGTGGCAGACAATGTTTGATTGACAAGTTGCTAGAATTTAGATGTTTGGCTCTTCATAAATTGATATTTCGGGCACGAAGGTGGACATTGCTAATTGTTTTGATTGTGTCAGTAAACACCACATCGTTTGCCTTTCCAAATCGGTACAATTTGCGAGTTTATAGCGAACTTACTTTTTGCTGGTAAAGTCCTGTTTAAAATCAGTTTCTCTTGCAAAATCTGAGTGGTGCCCTTGTAAATTATGAAAGTAGATTGCTTTGATGTGTGATCTCTGCATTCTGGGAACGTCTTGAGATAATTTTGGCTTAATTAGAAAGGAGCCAAGCTTTGTTTCTTTAGGCTTAGATTGATAAAGGTGTAGTTTATGATTTGTTGATGTGGCCTGTTTGCACCATTCTGAGCTGCTTAAACAGACCTTGTGTTCCCTTGTAGAGATTCACAATGTTGTGCAGCAAGCTTACCTGTTGTCATGAATTCAATCCAGAAAGTCATCAGTAATTTTATGTCATATTCCAGCTAAGTGAATCGAATGCACGTAAAGTACATGCATTAATTGCTTTCACGTGAATACTTCGTGGTATTTAAAGTACACTTGCCTTCTTTGGTTGTATGCTATGTAGTTTATTTAAACTACCGGTTTAAGTTCAGATCTTACGAAGGACCTATTTACTCTTTTAGCAGTATGTAATGGACATAAACGACCAAATTCGGGCCGCTATCAAAGCGGAAAGTGACGAAAATTCCAATACTACCGTTAACTACGGAGCCTGCCTCAAAAAGGAAGACTTCGAATATTTTTCAGAGGCCCAATTAGCCCAACTTCTAGCACTTGCCGACGAACTTCACGGCGTAAGTCATGAGGATCAATCTCAAGCACAACCCTCATCTCCTCAATCCACGCCAAAGTCATGACATCAACATACATTACTGGCCTCCTGCTACCCGACTTTCATAGATGTTGTAGATTTCATTAGTCGTGTCGAATAACTGAAGAGCATATTGTTATCTTCATTGGAATTACGCGATGGTACATGGCCATTTTTGTCGACCTTCTGCAGGAAGGTGTTTAGAAATGTAGACATGGAGTCATTGAGTATTGTAAAATTGGCCAGAACCAATCAGTCAGGTTTGCTATTCAGCATAGCATGAAACAGTATATTTGATCTAAAAAGTAAAGTTGGTTGGGGTTGGAGTTAACCTGTGCGCATAAAAATTTAATGTATATCTGATGTCCTAACTCATTGTTCGAGTCGTTGTTTCTGCCTACGAAAAGTTGCATAAAAGCAGAGAGAGAGCGAGAGCTTTTAGACAAGCACATTCGATGGTCATTTCCAAATCACTGTCAGCAGTAAGCGGCCTGCACCGCAAAGGCAAGATGGCCATCAGTGCACTGAATG